GCGTGGAGAAAGGAACAGCGCAGTTTCAGCATGCTTCCATGCCGGCCTTTCTTTGCTTTTGGGCCTCGGATAGGCCGTGTCAAAATTGTGCACCAAACCTTGTTATTCTCAACAGAAAATTGTGTATCGGGTGCATGAAATACAACGTCATACAGTATTTTACAAAACCATTTACTGACCACCTCACATTTGTCATGTTTGTTGAAAGCACGGCTAGGAGACCCGGCTTGCGGAAGATCACGCCTGACACGGATGCTCGCTCAACGCGATGGCATGCAGGTGTGCGTGTACAGATATAGCATCATGTACAGAATGTACCACACGTAACGCATGAAACGAAGGATTCCAAGACCCAGTCCTGAAAAGCGCAGACTGACGAAAGCATGACTTCGCCTGCAGCATGGGCACATCCGGGTACGCACCCACTGACTTTCATTCATAAAAGGAACGAACAGGGAATACAAACAGTGCACCGCAAATGTTCAACACGTAACGAAATCGGAAGAAACGAAATTTGCCGACAAGGCGCCGCGGCTCGGAAAAGATCACAGAATTTGAGTCGGAAACGGCTCCGATGTAATAAATTCCTCATTCCTTATTAGTATTATCAGTCTTAATACAGTTGGTTTCACGCGTAACATTCAAGGAATGAAAAAGTTACGTTGTAAACAAAAAATACGAAAGCCCCTACCTGTTGATCCGACAAAGAACTTTTGCAGACTCAAATGATTTATAAAGTCTGTGTATTATATTCTAGATTAATGCAAAAGAAACAAATTTTAGCATGAGAATAATACAGATTGGTCATGTACAACGAATATCAGGTAAACAGCAAAAAAGACAGGGAAACAACCTCTTTTGGGGACCCCATGACCAGTTTTCTTATTGTTGTTTTTTTAAACAAGGGTTAAGGTTTCTTTATCAATATATGCTTAATAACTTCATATAGTTCAAACTTTATGAGCTACTTTCAATACAAAGTTATTGAACAAGATTCACAGCAAGGTCAAATTTCTTAGCTGGTATCCATATTTAAATAAACACCTACATGTGCGTACATGCACATGGAATGTACATGTATGTACCACCCTTGAATATCAATCAATCAATCAATATTAAATTTGTATGATGCCATGCAACAAAAGTGAATTATACGGTACATTTGAATATTATGGATTGATAGGTTGGGATGAAGTAAGGACAGTGAATTTGTCGGCAGTTAATGAGGCACATGAATCTGGGCTTTGTACCACTCTGTGGAGAAATATTCAAATTAACCCTAACCCCCAAGGGTGTACATATGTAAAAATTGTATTGAAATTAGAGGATTTAGGACTGTTAGGGTTAAAAGACACTGTCTTTCGTTTCTCCCTGCTTGAACAAAGGCAGTTGGATCTTTGGGGGTTTTCGAGGAATCTGTAGGATAGAGGAAAGTGTACATATTGATACCAGTATCCAGCGTGTAGGCCTACCCGGTACGTACATGTGTATTGGTACCAGGCACATGTGCAGTACCCCTGTAAGGCTGTATTAATAAAATGTATGGTTTCCGCACAGCAGTGGTGCAACGGTTTTTCAAAGTGGGGGGGGGCACAACTGTGAGACAATCGGCCATTAATAGGCCGATTTAATACCTGTACATGTAAGCCACAACCCATTGTACACGTACATGTACCGAAGTCTAGTACCTGCAAAAAGTGTGTGTGTCGGGGGAGGGGCGGGTTTACATGTATACATACCCCAGTCAAAAAAGGACCCCTCCAGCCCCCTACTTCTGCTGCCAGTGGTACCGGGACCATGTTCCGGTGCGTACACGTACTGTACATTGTACATGTGGACAGTGTACAGGTACATGTACTGTACATGAGGAAATGTACATGTGGACAGTGGACAAACCTGTAATTTATGAACTGCCAAAGGATGTTGTTGGTTGCTTTCAATTGGAGAGGAAGCTCGTACGTGGGGTAATTTGATCCATTGAAAACCAGTTGTGTATTACATTTTCACAAGAGTACTGGTTGTGTACATGTATCATACAAGTAGTACCAGTGTATTTTTAATGAGCAATTTTTGTAGGTTGGTACCCGTACCAGGAACCCAACGCGGCAAATTAGTTTCATTCAAGCAGAACCTAGCACAGCCTGGTGTAGTTCCAGATCTGCAATAAGAGAGTAGCCATTTCTGTAAATTGATCAACCTCATTCCCAGTTGCCAAGCAGTATACATGTACTTTCGCTACGTGTACGTTAACATTGTGTGCATCCATGATTTCTACATGTATACATGTACATGTAGCTTAGTTTACACATAAATTTAGCTGGATAAAATTACTGATAATTTGTCTTGAATTGTGATTCTTTGCCGATGGTTTCCCGAACTGTTCCTCTTCTCTCTTGCTACTGATAACCTGGCTTCTCAACCTGTTTTTATAGAGAGAGGGGAGAACCAGCTTGTGTGGACTCTTTTGTTGTCGGCACATTTTGGTGCACACAACCTGCGCGTGGATCTGTTTGTTATGCTTTCAAGTCTACACAAAGAGGGCCAAGTTGGCATTATCTCCATTGGCAGGCTGTGCCATTGTGGAGTGGCTAATGTATCATTCATTTCGTGCCTGACAGACACATCTTTTGTTAAGTATTAATGACTCACTGTTGCCATGGTAATCTTTCAGATGCGATATCGTGTCTGCTAGAAATTGCAAGCGAATATTCAATGATTGTCATTAATTATTCATGATAGATATTAACCCTAACAGTCCCAAATCCTCCAATTTCAATACGATTTTTACATACACCCTTGGGGGTTAGGGTCTTTCCCCCAATGCCCACTTATTTGTATTTGGGTGTTTCTACAGTACCAGGTGGTACCGGCAGGAGTGTGACCTTCGCCTCAAAATTCAAAGTGCTTGGTGAAGATTTACACGTGAAGGCCTTTACATGGACAGATACATGTACATGTAGGGCAGCAACATGTACGGTACCTTTTCTGAAAAAGCGGCCAAGATAGGGTAACTTTCTGTTGTACAATGTACATGTTGTCATATCTACACCCTTCACGCCCTACAAGGGGTATTACCCACGTAATGGGGACAGACACTTGCTAACCCACCTCCATGGGGATAACCTTACATGTACTATTAGCAGTCAAGGAAGTACGCGTACATGTACCTGTACTAGTAAGTACTGGTACATGTACATACATGTATGTATATTTGAGAAACTGTGTATTGATTTATTGTAATCCGCACATAATGGTTCATATGGAGCAGTGACATTTGGACATGCTGGTACATACATATGTGCATGTATATGTACCGGTACCCTACATGTACTGGTACATTGTATGTATTACACATGTACTTGTACATTGTTGCTTTACTAGCCAAAAATGACAATATTTTATAGATGGTTACCAGTTTTCACATAATTATGGTGCATGTACTGGTACATATCGTACCTGTGCGTATGTACATGTACAAGTACAAGTACCTGGTGTCTGAGGTGACGTGTACAATGTACATTGTACATGTACTGGTACATAAATAGAAGACAGTATCCAGACCATTTATGTACATGTAATGGGTACATGCACATGTACTGGTAATATGCTGCCGGTGCATGTACGGTATGTGTAACATGTACATGTACCATGTGTCTGAGGTGACGTGTACAATGTACATATATGTACTGGTACGTAGAGGACAGTATCCAGACCATTTAATGTACATGCACCGGTACCAGTATGCACCAGTATGCACCAGTCAGTTATTCCTTATAGAGCTTGTGAATATTGACATTTTTAATGAGTACCGGTACAATTTTAATATAAGAGCTGGCAAATTTGAGTCAGGGATCAGTTTCTGGCTGAATGCACATTTACTGGTACATGTACATGCTGCCACTTCCCAGGATTACCGTACGTGCTTGCATATTCAGCATATGCCAACAATGAACCCTGCATACATGCACAGTGTGTTATTCTAGGGGCCTGTTCTATTAGTCAACCTGTTGATAGAGGTGACATGGCTAGAGCACCATACATAAATTGCCTCATGTGACATATCAAACCTTGGGGCCTGTTTATACAGGGAGCCATAAAGGCCATTCTCTACAACTTCAAAGAAAAACAAACTGAACACAGTGTTTCCAAGGGGACTGTATACTTGTACATTGTACATGCAGGGCAGACAGTGCGTGGCAGGTGAAAGAGTCATGCATACATGTACATGTACCTGCCAACTAGTACGACTTTAGCGTATTTTGTATGAAAAATTGATGAAAATACGACTGTACGTTTTTATCACTAAGGTACTTGTAAGCTTTTCTTTCCTGTTCGTTTGGGAAAATACACATTTTTATTGGAAAATACTCATTTTGGAACCTCCAAATACACTTTTGCGATTCTAAAGGTTGGCAGGTCTGGTCATGAACCGCTGTATTTTGGGCCTGTTTGTTCCGTGCAGATCTGGGCCCCGATTAGTGATCCCAGCGCTGGTTTACTGCATCCATTGGGCGGATTCTTCTGTTTGTGAACCAACCAAGTACCGGTATCATCGATCGCGATCTGGATCCATGTGAAAAAAAAACAGGCCCTTAGAAACCCAATGCAGTTTTTCAGAGTTGACATGCACATTTTGGCCATTGTGTCATTAGGTACCATACTGGTATGTACAGTGTATATGTACATGTATGTACATGTACACATACATGATCCGGTGTACATGTACATGGGTCATGTGTTCTACAATGTAACTTCTAACGTCACATGTACATTTACTGACTGGCATGGTTGAGGCCTCCTCGTCATGCCTTCGATCCTGCCTGCGGGGTTGCTATTGTTATCGCAGAGAGTCAGTAATTGGTATACTGAGCACTTGCCGCTTAATGTGTAAAATGTAAGACATGCAGCATGACATTTTTCATCCCTTGCCTTGGGTTATGCTCAGCTGTGTGCAAAAGTGGACCCTGCATAAGATTCACGTTTCTTGTCCTTTTATACAGTATGACCTGGATGACAATCATCCGGAGCTTATCGTTCACTGGGCTGGGGAGGGGAGCGACATGATCGTCTGCTTGACCCGTGACATTGACCTGACGCCTTCGTCCACCTCAGGCGTCTATTTCTCCTACAACTACGGCCAGACATTTGATAAGAAGACGAACTTCGCACTGGACGATGGCCAGGAGGCCGTCTTTGACCGGTTCTACCACATCCCAACGGATAACGCACGGGTAAAGTCTGAACGATCTTCTTGTTTGTTACAGAGTACGGATATGTGAAGTCGTTTTGAACCGGGATATGCAATGCACGTGACCGGAGAGTGCGCGCATGTTGGTTCACACGTTGTTGGTTCTTGTGCCAAAGCCTTTTACACCCCAAATTGTGTGCGTGACGTATTCACTCAGCTGCTCCATGCGGCTGTCTTTGAATGCTACATTTTCATTGGTCCACTGATCATGTGACTGCGTGACTGACATTGCTTTAGTGCACTCTGGCTGACATTCAGATGGTCTCAAACTACAATCACATGTGTAAAGCTGACAGTGGCAATAAAATCCTGCATTTGATTTGATTAGATCTTAAAAGACGCACACGTGTGTTCATGTAATGACTACTGAATGTCTGTATGCACATACATGTACATGTAGTGCTTTATGCACTGGCCAACAAGGTTGGACATTAGATGGCAGAGGGCTGTGAGAAAGCTTTGATTAGCCCTGCAGGGGCCAATTTCATAGAGCTGCTTAAGCACAAAAGTACCTTGCTTAAAAAACAAAGGTTATCAGCTCAAAATCTAAGTGATTGTCATGCTAACCAAAAGACAGGTGATTACCATTCCAAAACAATATACAAATGTACATCACATGGAGTTTGGGCTGGTAACCTGATTTACCTGTATCAAGCAAGGTTTTTTCATGCTTAAGCAAATTTTGTGCATAAGCAGCTCTATGAAATTGACTCCACTTTTCACCCTACACAATTTAGTATCTGCTTAAAAAGCTTGAGAGAATGCCTCATTCGGGGTACACGTATGTCAAGTACAGGTAGTTACGGCTATGGCTTAAAATTATACTGGTGCCTATTGGAACAACTGCCAGATGGTGGCAGCCACATTTATGTTTATTCGCATGTGTCACTCCCACTGGCAGCCTTAGCCAATTGATTCGTTTGGATTCAGGAAGCCTGCCAATAAACAACATTTGTTGAGCTTGATTTTTTCCTTTTCCTTTGATTATTTTCCTGTTGTTTGCCCATGCCCTTTTCCTGTTGTTTTCCCACGCCCTTTTCCTGTTGTTTGCCCACGCCTTTTCCTGTTGTTTGCCCACCCCCATTTCCTGTTGTTTGCCCACGCCCTTTTCCTGTTGTTTGCCCACCCCCATTTCCTGTTGTTTGCCCACCCCCAT